AGGCCATTTTCTGGAAATTGATAGAACTTGATTGAACTTTGTAAATGAAAGAGCTAGAAAATGAATGAACACGAGAAAAAAGCTTAGAATCAAAATCAAAGAGAGAAGTTGAGAGATAGAATGAGAGTGAGATGAGTAGATGAGAGTGAATTGTTGTGTGGGATTTATGGTGGAATTAAGGGGTATTTATAAGGGATTTTTGGGTGAAAATTTGATTTTTTTCCATTGGGCCCTTCGCGGGCCCAACATGCGGCACGTGACGGGCCTCCCGTTTGGCCCATCACGTGAAACGGGAGGCCCATCACGTGCCGAACGTTGGGCCCGCGAAGGGCCCACTGGACCAAATGAAATGGGCTTTTCATGGGCCGTTTTTGCGGGCTTTGCCGTGCCGGCCCGGCCCGTAACAGTAACGAACCGGGCCGTGCCAAATCATGCACTATTACGGGCTGGGCCGGGCCGTTCATGGACGGCCCGGCCCATTTGACACCTCTAGTTGCTGCCACTATTCTTCTTCCAAAGACAAGCTTATCCAACTGACGTTCTAGATCCCGTATCTTTCGCCACCCTTCTTCAGATAATCATCTACATACAGCTTTTCAAGTTCTTCATTTAACTGAGCCATTGATCTCTTCGGCAAATTCCCATATTTTCCACAACTCCATTGTTTCAAATCCAACGCACACTTCTCCAAGCTCACCGAGACACTTGATAAAGTCCCCCTCCCCACCACCAGCGCAACCAAACTAAACATCCAAGAAGTATTAAGCTCCGTTTAGTGCGCAGATTTAAATTTTTAATTCGACGTTAGATGTAGTTTTATGTGAGAGCTTTTCACTGTAGCAGAAAAAGTTAGATGTGACTTTTTATGAGAACTTTTAACTATAGTAAAATTAGAATTAAAAACTCGAATTGTTGAAATGAAAGAAGCCTTAATAACCTCCTTGCAGTTTTAATCTTTGAGCCATAAATGCCTCAAAACCTCCACTTCTAACCTCCTCTATCCGTAACAAACACATTCAAGGTAACGTGGATATCCTCCCTCCATAACAACATAAGCCCCCCTTTCAAACCCTCTGAATCTACTTGCACCAAACTGACAAAACATTAATATTAAGAAGCTAATACTATTTTAAAAAGCGTGGCGTGAGCTACCTAATTGGCAAATGCTCGACCATATGTGGTATCGATGGGATTCTTATGATCCGCATGCATATTACCTGTGCTTTGCAGTATTCTCGCCAGGATTCCCGATCTTACTCCAGCATAAATATTGCAATATCTTGATTGAAAAGTAGGAGAAATAGTTGACAAAAAGTTAAGCAGCATATAGCCAATGTAAAAGGCATCTATTACAGGAACAAATCAGTCATCAGCATATAGATGTACTTAAACGTATATATGACCTCAGCAAGTATCAGGTGTTGAACGAAATATGTCCTGTAAGGTACAAACATCTGTTAAGATAATAAACCTGTTGACGCCACGATTATTGGAATTCTTGGCTAAAAACCATCCTCCAAACGCAGCAGGCTTCCTATCCTATCTAACAGTCACGTCAGCTTGTTTTTCTCAGCGAACCAAGTAGTACAGGCTTTGCTGTAGAAGAGGGAAAACAAAGGTCAAAAACATCTTTCATCAGCCAAATTAAAATGATTCTCATGTCTCATCAGCTAGTTAGTCCTTTTTTTTTTTTTTAATATAAGAAAAACTCCTTTATTGATATAAAATCAATTAAAGGAAAAGAGGATAAGGTATCCTCCAAATAGAAAGCAATAAAAGCAACAATTGAAATTACAACAAAAAATCAAACCATCCAAATCAGTTTTCCTATATCATCAACATAACCTAGACCGATGTAGAAAGTGAGGTTATCGATATATACCTGTACGTTTTGCGAACTCCCAATCTTTCAACTTCGAAGACAATAGTCCAGAGGAGAATTATATATACATTTCTCAAAGCACCTAATTGGCACAAAGAACGCTCCTATGGAAGTTGACTATTAGCATGGATACCCTCTGCTATCATAAGGATTCCTTGACAGATCAATATTTTGGATATCTAACACTATTGCATAACGAAACAAATCAAAAAAACAGTCTAGGGAAATGTTGAAGATAACCTGAGTTAGAATTGAAACTTAATACACATTAACAATCCGACACTCATTATTAAGAGCTTGTGTGCACCGAGCTTCTAATACTTTTTGCATTGCATCATGACATCTGGAAAATATTAGAGACAATGATATCAGAAGCAACTTCTATTTCTTTTACTATAGAAGAGAGAATAACACAAGGCAGATTCATTTGTGATACCTCCAAGGGAGATGATCAAGAAACATTGATGGTGACACAATAATATCTTTGAAGCTCTCTTTGTTTGCTATATATGCTTTGTACCCATTTTCTCTCTCAAGGAATCCCCGACCTTTCCATAGGGACATATGGAAATTTCTATGTTGTGGAACCATATGAATTATAAGGCCTGGCAAATACAACTCTGGCGGATTCCCAGCTGATACATTTTCAGATGTTGGAACAGTTTCCATAAACTCGGATACAGGATCATATGCATTGGCTTTAGTGGCAAAAGGACTGGAGAATTCATCTGGTGCACTTTCAACAATTGCATCCTTTATATCAGTTTCAGAGAAGAGGGAAAAGTCACTATCACGTTCCTCATACCCTGCATGAAATAACCAATGTTTTCGTTGAAACACCTTCCTCCTTCCAATTTATACCCATCAATACCATGACTGTCAAACACAATGGCATGTTACTTTTTACAAAACAACATACTTAAATTAGAAAAAGAAAGTACCACTTGAATCAAACAGACTCTCACTTCCAGATGCATGGTTGTTTAGGTTTTGCGATCTTGTCCCAGAATACACATCTGAAGTTGGTTCCATTAACTCAGTCCTATTTCTCTGATACTGACTAACATAGAGAAAGCGGCGTGCTAGTCTGAAGATCATCGCCGTATCAGCTGTGGAATCTTGAGAAAGTGCTGTGATAGCAGCCGCTCGAAGTCTTAAAATTGACCCAACTGAAAGGCGTGAAGAGAATTCATTGTTCAAAACAATGCTGCAAAAGGGCGAATATCACTGACCATTTCCAAGGGGGATTGAGTTAAGGAGATTGACAACAAACCAAACCATTAATTTTCCGGTATACCTTAATCTAACATGGCCATAAAGGAGGGAATGATTGTTACCTGGTAACGAATTGAGAACAGGCCTCTGCTACAATTGAATCCACGCATGGAAGGGGTCCAAATGCATAAACATGTAAATTTGGGTATTTACGGTATAGCTGCATATAAGATTTTAGATAAAAACGTAACTTAATTGCAATTAAAAAGATTAGAAGTAAATTAAAACTAACTGAAACAAGAAAATCATCATTTTAAGTGAAGAAAATGTATCGGAATAATTGCAATGGCACATGAAAATTAACTCTCAACAATCCATAAAGCTCATATAACATAGACAAAGACATAGGGAGCATTAAAACGAAGGAAAAAAAGTTATTAAAATTTTTTTTTTTTAAGGATTTTCTCAAGGATTGATGGGATGCTTTTGTTCCTGGTTGGATGATATGTTTTCTAGTCAACGGTTGTTTTTCTTATTTTTTTCATATACTTTTATATTATTTGGGTGGACTCCTTGTTCACCTTTTCCTTGTAATTTATTTTCATCAATGAAAAGGTTGTTTTTTTATCCCCAAAAAAAGGGATTTCAGCACAAATGGCCCTTTTTGAAGGATTTCTATTACTGATTGACTTAACGGTCCATTACAGATTAACTTTATTTTATCACTGATTAACTCAATGATTCTTCATTATTAATCAACATTAGTTGATAATTAACCAAAATCAATCAGTAATTAATCAATTTCAGTCAACAAAATATAGATTTATCAATTGATAAATTATGGGTCAATCACTGATTGATTGTGTGTCAGTACTAATTGACTCCTTAAAAAACGGCCATTTTCGTAAAATAAGAAACTTTTGACCCTCCGAAAAATAAAATAAGGTCGACCATTTATGGAAAAAAAGCAGTAAAAAAGGGTTATTTAGCTAATTTCCCATAAAAAAATAAAATTCTCTTCATGGACTCGCATTTTGTTTTGCTATCTTATTTTTATTCAAAAAAAAAACATAAAACAACAAAAAAAAAAACACATATTTATTACTTATTAAAAGGTTAACAAAGCGACAGCCGCATCCAACAGTATCATAATCATTGCTCCAATATTCAGAAATCAGATTCTTCGACAATAGTTTATAACTATTCAGTAATGAGAGGACTAATTAGTCCCTTTATAAGCATTCAAGCGGGAAGAGGGAGGAAAAAAAAAACAAAACAAAAAAAAAGTAATTTAGGAGTGGAAAATCCATACTCTAATTCCTAGCAATGTGGCAATGGCTCCTCCAAGGGAATGGCCAACTACGCGAATATTGTACCCCTCACACTCGCACCCAGCTCCCAGTAATGACGAAAGAAGGCCACCTGCATCAGATTCTGCTACTCCATTTACACCACCAATTAGCCAAACAGGAGGGGAAAAGTTTTAACCCAGAAAGGAAATAACTAAAGTGCCTTGGTAATTGAAAACCTGTTTAGCCAATCAAACGTTTAAAATCTTGGGACATCATATGCACTTTTTCCAATTTTCATATTTGTCTCAAGTCTCAACAATGGATAAATTTAATAACATTAAATTCGTTATTTATATAGGAATATTAGGTAAATTATACTTTGCAGCATTCCCGTTAATGTGACTCAGGATTCTTTGTTAATGGCCATAGCAAATTGCATGTGAATTCTAGATGAAAGTGAGAATAGCATAAACATAATCGAAAATCGAAAGACTCGAGATTTAATTCTTCAAATTGGCATTATAGGACAAGCACACAATTATGTTATCCTTGCTTTTGTAAGTGGCCTGGGATTTGAATAATAACAACAACTACAATAAATGAACAAAAAATCAGATACTTACCATCATCTTCAGCATTTCCTTCAATTTGTGTGAAAAGATTCCGTGCAGCAGCAACAATACCCGAGTGCCCATAATGGGGGAAAGTTGAGAGAACACTTTGCTTCAGGTCAGGGTCAACATGATTGCTACTGCACCTCACAATCCCGTACTTAGACTTAAATGCCAAAAGTTAATCAAAAGAAACAACACCAAAAAACCACACGCACAGAAGCAGCTAGAGCAACAGGTACAACACAAATTTTCGAAGACAACTTTCTCTTTATTTCAGTAATTGTTATATGCTGTTGTCATTGACTGCTGCACCAAACAGATACCTTATTCTAAAGTGCCAAACGCATTTAGAAGAACCTAAACCAGAGAAAGCAAACACATAGAAGAAACATAGGCAAGCGACTGGCACAAATTGCAAATGTACAAAGCCTAACTCCTAGCTGGTATAACTGCTAGTCTGTTTGCATTGTATTGAAGAACACAGGAGTGCTGTTTTTTTTCCATACAATGTGGGGCTTATGGCTCTTACATTACTAGTAAGAAATGAAACCACTGAGATTCGAACCCTGATGGATACATGCACGCACTCACACACCCAATCACTTGAGCTAGCCTCAAGTGACGAGGAATGTTGTTTTACATCTATCTGTATTCTGTTTTATTTTTTCTTCAGTTTTATTTTAAAGGACATTGTTAACTTGTATTTGTACAATTTTATAGTTTCAATAAAATGTTTGTTTCTTAAAAAAAAAAAAAAATTTGTAGCCTTTTAACAATTAAGAACAGTTTTGAAAGAAATTTTTTCTTATCAAAAAAAAAATAACAGTTTTGAAAGATAGAAAGCTCAATCCCAAAGTGGAAAGCAGATGAGTTCATTTGTATTTAAGCAAACAAAATGAACACCTGAGGTGAATAGTTCCACGAAATGATTGGTTTACACTAACACGGTTTCTTTCTTTTCCTTCTTTTTTTTTTTGGCATGGGAATGATAAAATTTCAGGGCTTTCTAGTAGAGCTGAAACAAGACCACAGACATGCATTTAGATACAAACAGACAAGATGATAAGAGAGAAGAGAGATACTTAATCAGCCCATCCAAGTCTTTTGCGGAAAGAATACATTCCCTACATAAGCCATCAATTATCAGATCTTCAGGGGTCTCAGTTCCCCGAATAGCAATCACTACAGATCTTAGATGATGCAAAACAAGAACAAAGTACGCAGCCTCACATTTTGCCTGAAACAGAATGTAGATAAATAAATGAAAAAATGAAAATTGTTAGTTGAGATATTTATATTATGATTTGTGGACATCCCCCTCATTCATTTTGTTCATTTTTTGCTTTTATACTATACTAAAATTGCCTTTGGAAAATAGTTTCAAGCTTAGGATTCAGTTACCTTGCTATCAAAGTTTCTTTATCCTTCTTTTTTATTCTACAATGAAACTTCTAGTAATTTATTGAATTATTGAAACTTGTATTTCTCAACTTGGTTTGACGACTTTTGAACATTATATTTCCTTTACATAGATGATAGTTCCGAAATTCTTCTTATAAATTAGGCAAACAGTCCAAAATGGTAGATTTTCTTTTTTTTTTAATCTCATGTCCAAAATGGTAGATGATTTGTCATTATATGAAGGTGAAGCCCAAATGAAAGTATTTGGTACACAAAGGAAAAGGTAAGATATCATTTATTTGTTTTGAACTACTATGAAGAAAGCGGAAACCACATCTTGACCAGGCTGATGAGATGAAATTGTTTTATATCAGTTTATTTATCAGGGATAATTTCAATTTCGTATCCTGAGTTATAGTGAAATTGTCTTTTAGTACCCTGTGTTGTTAATAATTTTAAATTGGTACCTCTACCTTTTAAAAAAATTGATTTTTGGTAGCTTGAGGCCCTCTTTTGGGACATGAAATGCCAAATTCGCCATTTTTAATCATTTTTGTTTTGGTTGACCTGAATTCTCTCTTTATTGAACATTTTAAGAAAACCTTATCCCGGTAACCAAACATCCTTTTTGCCTTTAAAAATCTTCAAAAATTATAGTCGTGTCTACAAAATTAGAAATTACTAAAAAGAGCAAATTCAATATTTCATGTCCCAAAAGAGGGCCTCAAGGTACCAAAAATCAAATTTTTAAAAGGTAGAGGTACCAGTTCAAAATTATCAAAACTGTAGGGTACTAAAAGACAATTTCGCTATAACATAGGGCACCAAATTGAAATTATTCCTATTTATTATTATGCTTATCTTATAATTTGGGTTTATTCAACTAGAAATAAACGTAATGAATGTATTTTTTCAGTTTCAACCTTGATGATTTGACAAAACTTTTGAATACACAGATTTCCAGTCTGTTTCTTCTCTTTCTAAAATCTTAACTCTTTCTCTTCTTTCTATAATTCCACTTCTACTCTAATCTATCTTGGTCTGGCATCACTTTCATTTTCCTTTCCTCCTCCATATTGCAATCTTCCAGTAGAATAGAGTCCACCACCAAGCCAGCGCCACAAAAAATCCTAATACTATAGTTTGGAACAATATTGGATCTCCATAACAGACCTTCATTCAAACTAGTTTGACAATAATACAATTATAATCCCATCATTAATGCCCAACCCGAGTGTGTTTATTCCAATGACAACTAAAAATCCAGCCTCATTTGATTATCATATGACCAAAAAAAAAAGGAAAAAAAAAACTACACGGTGCAGTAAGGTATGTGTTGGACAATCAGTGGCATTAACATTATCTTACCTGGTTAACACGTCCTTGCCGCAGTACTTCTGGGGATAATTTAACATACTTTAAAAAGGCTTCTGCATGGCCCCTCCACCAGTTATCACCATCAAGTTTAGGTCGCCTAAGAAGAATAAGAAACAGAAAATAGTGTTAAGGCTGCATGTTATCCTTTTTGTCACCCTCTAAAACTGCAAACAGATAACAATTGAAAATTAAAAACAAATACATCCTAATATTAGGGTTCCGATATATCTATTTGAATTTCTAAAATAACATTGAATATCCTACACGTGCATGAGCAAGATACCCGTTTGATTAACAACCTGTTACGCATCCATGGAGTCAAAATCCCTTGTCTATAGAGCCACACACAAGGAAATAAGAAAGGATTTCTTCCCAAGTCAAGTAATGGACCCTGCATATGCAATATTTATATGTTAACTAGGACATGATACCAACAAAAATAAGTAAGCTCACAAAATATTATATTACAGCACCGTATAAGCAGCTTCGGCAAATTTATGAAGATCTGCAGCTTCCTGAATTTGTTCATCAGGTGCTTCCCCGCTCTCTTCATAGGAACTTGGTGACTCATTCTCGCTCTGCATTAAGGCTAGACCTGCATATGAATCAGTCTCAAATTTCTTTTTTGGCGAAAAAGAAACCAGTAACATGAAAATGAGAATGGAATTTGATGCAAAATTAGATACAACAGATGCAAGAAAAGTGCATTGAAAAGTAACAATATAGTAGCAATGCTAAATGTACAGGAGATAGATACAAAATATAGTAGTCAGTGAGTCCAGCCTACTAATTTGCCTTTCGAGGATTAGGCATCCAGTTGGACCTTCTTTTTCACTCATAAAACCAAACAAGAAGAGGAAATTTCAAAATATGGTCCAAATGGACCTTCTGTCTGTGACCTTATTGGTCAACAAATGATATTCTACTCTCTCTGTGCGAGTGTACTTATACATTGTACGGGTTAGAACTCTTGCCCATGTTATGCTAATTGGCTTAAGACTGAAGGTTTTTGTCACCAACATAAATTATTACAGTTTCACATATTTGATTTTTTCCAATTCTTAGAACAATTTTCTGTTAAAATTTTACTAGACCTAATTTCAAACAAAAGAAATTGAAGTGCGGCTTTAGTTGTAAAATTTAGAGTTCATTTACAATCTCAGATTCACAAACTTACTGTAAAGGTAATTTTAAACGATGCCTACCAACATTTTCCAAATATGCAGTTGTGCACATTGCTGATGCAGTACCAAAAGTGTGCTACTAGCTAAGAACATTCAGAATACAATTAAAGTGAAGACCCAAAATACCTGCCAACAGTTCCAAATGTCCAGTGCCTGATGCACGATAAGTGACAAGATCCCCCAGCAATCGAGCTACTGAAAAAACCTCATCTTCCTCCAAGACACTCCTGGAATAATAAGATCACAGGACAAAAATCAGGAAGCACTGAAGCATGTAGCTGGACACATGCAGAGTTTATAAACAACAATGCACAGAATCTTACAAGTATTTGACACGCCCAAGGCAGCACAAAACTTCACGAATACCATGATCAAATACCTCTCTGTAATGGGCTTTCCATGCATCATCTTTGGTTGCATAGTACGATCTCCAATGTAGAACATCAGACCCCGTGAAACATTGTAGTATTGTGACAGAGCATAACATAATCATGAATAAAACTATTACATGTTGCTCCCACTGGCTACTATCTAACCCTGCTCGAGGAAGGTCCTGTAAGTCATGACTCCGTACAATATAAATCTATATTTGTCTTAAGTTAATGACCCGTGTTAGGATTATATCACACAAGCAATCGAGAAAAGAAAAATAAAATAAAAAACAAAGTTTCGGTTCAACTATGTAAATGAGTGATACACATAAAAAATTTACACATATGACATCTGAACATGGACAAATCAACAAGATATAGGTGATTCACAACCAAACTGTACATCATGAGATATGCTCTCATATTCTGCCGAAAAAGAAAAAATAAAAGAGGAAATAGCAGTATGCAATAATTACATCAAAAACAAGTTTAGCTTTTGAAAAAAAAAAAAATGCTATAGACTTTCTCTCTTTCCTATTAGCCTTTTACCTCAGAAATGATTAGTTACCAAAAAAAAAAGGAAAATTAGGAAGGAAAGCACGCCTACTTAAATAATAAATGCAGGAACGAACATACCTTACCTATAATGCAATCATCTGTTTTTGGATCATGAGAAACATAGCTGACCACAGTGTACACAAGGTAAGTTGCAGCGGAAAATTGTAATGCTGTAACAAACATTGCAAACCGAGTCCACCAAAGCCATCTTTTATACCTCATCTGGTCATTCAGAAAACTAATTAACTTTGTACACAAGGAAAAGAAGAAAAGAATAAAGGAAAAAAAAAAAAAAACAAACAAACAAACAAATTATGATAATCAAAGATACATAGATTGAAAAAAAAAAATCCCTGGCATACATCGTGCCCCTTCATTCTAAAGTAGGGAAGTACCCTTCTTTTTCCATATATATGAAAGAACTGCAAGAACAGAAACTTCTTTCCCTCCCCCTAGCAAGTGAAAATGTTTATTATGCCTGACAATTTTGTTCTCCATTTTATATTATTTCCCTAGTACGCTCTTCATGATCATTCAAAAGCAATCTTCTGTTGTGGTTGGGAGAAGGACTTGAAAACAAATTCCACAGGGTGGGTACAATACGTCCACTATGGCTTCCATTTCTTGTTCGATTGCCACATATAAGTATAACAAATAGTCAGAAATTGTCTTATCCCCTGAACGTATTTTACTTTGTAAAGAAATCCACAAAGCCCACAGGGCACTGTCACGGAAAGAGGTTGGAACATGTATGGTCGCTCCAATTCACTTAGATTAACCTTTTCCAAATCCCATCACAACCCAAAAAAATAAATAAATAAATCATTAGCTAAACATAATCAATAATGCAGCCCAAGAGTTAGACCAGAGAAGCTAAAGCAAGAAACCTGATGACATCCTCATCTTCCACCCCCACATTAAGTAGTTTAAAAGGCAAACATAGTGAAAACATTTCTCTGAGATCAATATTTCCAACCACATTACTTTATGCTACCAGAACGGCAAAACCTTCATCTATACAAGGCTTCCAACCCACCTCTTTCCTCCTCACGGTTGAACAAAAAGCAAAAGAAATATCATCCAAACACATTGATAAGGAACATGCTCATTACAAAACTTATCATCAAATGTCTAACTTCGCTCAAGGTAGACTTGAGAATGCCATGATTTAGCCATCTGTTAAGCTTCTTCTTTGTCACATACTAAATTGATGCAAAAGAGCACTTTCAAAATCCTCCTCAAACCGTTTGAAATATTTCAACATCAGATTGACACTTCCTCACCTCAAACGTACACAAATCATAACAAGAGAAATATAACTTTCACCTTGACATAGTTGCCCACGAAAACACAATGAAAGTGAACTCTGCTTATCCCTATCCATCTCTACCTACTGGCACATTAATGGCTGAAGAATTATAACGGACCAGAACATCTCCAACAAGAAGTGCCATAAATCAAACAATTAATATCAGAAATTTTGAAGGTTCTTCTCAAAATTCCATTAAATCAGTAAATAAGAGCCGATATACCCTCCGTTCATGGCGAATGACGGTATCGACGACGGCCGCGCTATCGGCGGTAGACTCGAGAATAGTCATGGCTGTGGCTTCCTGCGCGACGCCGGTGCGAACGGTGGTGACGATTCTGACGGCGGCGACGAAGGACACAGCGGCGAAGGGGAGAAGGAGGCGGTGATCGCAAGACGGATAGGCGAGAGCGAATAGGAAGAAACCGAGGATGACCAGAACGGCATTGGCGGCGCTCAGAACGACCGTCACCGCCCGCAGATTCCGAAACCTAGAAATCAATAACGCCATTTGCGAGCGTTTGCTTGCTTGGAGCTGAAACGATAGCTCATAGAAATGGAAATGGTGGCAATTCGGCTTTGTGTATGAATTCACTTTTTTTTTTTTTTCCCCTGAAATTGTTTTGTTAGTTTGCGAACGTTAAAATGGGACCTCATAACTGAGGTCGTTTAGTTCACTGATTCAAATTTTTAATTCGAGTTAAGATTTGATTTTATATGATAACTTTTTACTATAATAAAAAAATTAGATGTGATTATTTGTGAGAATTTTTTACTGTAGTAAAACTCGAATTCTAAACTCGAATCAGCGAAATAAACGGGACCTAAAGAATTATTATATGCCTTCTGAATTTTAGAGGATCGTCCCTTTAAATTTTAAAAATTATTTATTTTTAAAATTTTAAATTATTTCTATTTAACTTTTTTATAGCAATTTCTATTAAAATAGATTAAAAAAAACAAAAATAATGCAATCACGTGATCTTTTGTTTTAGATTTCTGTTAAAAAGAAAAAAAAAAATAAAAATCACAAGACCACACTTAATTTTCTCTTTTTTCATATGATTTTAATAGAAATTACAACAAAAAAAAGTTAATTGAGAATAATTCAAAGCTCCGGCACAAAATGAAAATTTTTGAAGTTTAAGAGCAAATTGAGATTGACCTCAAAGTTCAAGGGGCACTCTTAAAAATAATCCAGCGCCTTTATTTTATTTACTAGTTTTGCCAACCTTATGTTTGTTTTACAACTCAAGTTAATAACTTGAGCTGTGTAAGTGAGAGAAAAATTTTGTAATAAAAAAATTAAATTTAAATTATTATGAAGAAAAATACTGTAACAATAGAATTTGAGTTGTGACTTGAGCTGTAAAAAAAATAAAGAAATAAGTTTGATCAGCATACGTAGCCTACTTAGAAGTTAAGTATATTAATTAGAGCAAGACGAAAAAAATTTTAAAAAAGCCATATCGAAAAAGAATTACAGTTGAATAAGAGCTTGTGACAAAAAAAACAAAAAAAAAAACTTAAGTATCAAAACATTTAAAAGAAATTATTAAAATAAGAGAATGTTTGCGGAAAAAAGTATTTTTACGAAGAATATTGTAGAAAAAAAAAATGTAACGGTCAAAATGTTAGTGGAAAAACAAAAAAAAAAAGTTAATAACCAAAAGAAAAGAAGAAATAAAAAAGAAAAAGATAAGATAATGAAAAATATTAAAAAAAATTTGACAAAAATAAGGAAGAAAGGAATTATTTTAATTAAAAGAAAGTAAGAAAAAATAAAGTATTTCAAAGAATGAAATTGTTTAAAAAAAAAAACAAAGAACTGTAAAAAAAAATATTAAGAGAAAAAGTAAAAAAGACAATAGGTAAAAAAAAAATAATAGAAAAAAATTATAAAAGAGATAAAAGGAATAGAGGAAAAGTTTAAAAAGAGATGGAAGAAAAAGGAGGAAGAGGTCACTGAGGCCCCTTTGGGAGCCAAGTCGACTGGCTGATTTTATGTGCTAAGAATGGTATCTTAAAAATATGAGATGTAATAAGATATTTATTATTTATTTAATAAAAGAGTTTATTCATTATTTTATGTGTATATATTATTGAATATTTTATGAATATCACTAAAAATTTCATGATTATTTATGTTACCTTAAATATTGTATATAAGTGTTATATGCGAGAGGATAATATTTAAGGATAATAATAAAAATGATGTTCGTAATGAATTTAATTAAAGTTCAGAATCTTTAATTAAAACATTATTAATACATGTCATTCTCATTCAAAATGGAACGGTGTTATCTGCACTGTTAATATGGAAAGATATTGAATGAGTGTATTACGCATAATGAGATTATGTGGAATAGGGACATAGGCACAATATGAATTTCTGATAATTTTCGTTAAGTATAGAAATTCTAATTGAGTCTATCGATGATCATATATAAAATGATCAATCTTAAGCTCTTAGCAGACTCCTATTGGTGAATTTTTGTCTTTTGATTTACTTAGTACGAATTCTGAGATCTTGAATCGTATTCCTTGTATTTTGGAGACATGCTAAAGTGAGTAGCCGGAAATGTTATTATACGAGATGGAATTCATTCCTTCTTGAGAAAGAAGTAGATAAATAATTCTCTTGAAGGTTGATTCGGTACTTGGACCAGTAAGAGCTATGATTCATGAATTTGTTTTATGAATCATTGTTCATTAGAGAATCAATGGTACTCAAGGATAAATATGTAAGTAGAGAGGTTAATGGTTTTCACCTAGCTCTAATATGAATTATTTATGGATGATTAATCTATATGTAATGACTACATCAAATGGACACTTCACAGTATAGAAGTAATTTATATCTATAATTACGAGAGTGCAATTCCAAGTTTATAGTGGAGTAACTTTTGGAATTAATAGAATTAATTAATTAATTAAAGAGTTTAATTAATTATTAATATTATTAGAGCTCAAAATTATAGGTCCATAGGTTTATGCGTCGTCCTTGTAATCCTACAAGACACTAAAGGTAAAACATAAATTTTAGAATTATGGAATTCTAAATAAAACACTCAAGAATAATTAATTAAGAATAAATTATAAATTAAATAATGTGATAATTTAAATTTGAATTTGAATTTTAAAATGCGCATGTGAAAGGTGTTCACATAGTGTGATCGCTCAGTACAGTGTGAATCCCTCTAGGATTCAATTGCTTACTTTCTAAGTTATCTAATTGACTTATTTGATCAGTTGTCTAATTTGAAATTGAAATTAATTTAAGTTTGACTTAAATAGGATTTTGAATTTTAGTCAAAATTGGCCTGCATGATAAGATGCAGAAATTTGCGTTGCCCTGCTCATACTGTATTCGCCTACCACAGGGAAGAATTCCCCTGTGGTGGTCGGCCAACATATGGATAAGGGAGAGAGATTTTGTTTACAAATCAAATTAGAAGTGTGAGATAATTATCAAGCTTTATCTTAGAGATAAAGATTAGACTTCTTCTAGGAGTCTAACTACTACTCTATAAATAGGAGATTGCAGAAAATTGGAGAAAATAATTTTTGCTCTCTCCTAGCAATGGCCGGTTTTCTATAGAGTGTGGGAACGAAAATTTTTTCTAAAATTCTATGTCGTGTATGTGTTGGTATTCGTAGAAACCTTGAGTGTTTATTTACTAATCTCATTTTATTTCAGGTGTGCCCACATACACGTATTTGTAGATTCTAGAAATTGACGAGAAAGATTTGGGTGTTCTAAATTAGGTTAGAGCAAGGAACGTTTGAGGTCAAAGAAAACAAGTTATCGACCTAATCGTTCACTAGGTAAATAAATTAATTGGGTAATTTGACAAATTGGGTAAAAATATCTCTTTCTCCCTCTTCTTGGGTTTGTGATTTGCAGAGGCGGCCCCTTCCCTCAATCGAGTTCTCATAGCCAAGCACTTGCTCAAAGCTTCTCTCATGGGTAAACATATTCTCTGTGCTTATCTTTAAATACAACTGCTGAAGTGAAATATGACCCTTAATATATTTATATCTTCTTTTTGAAGTGACTGAAAATTTAGGCATGTGCCAAAATGGAGAATTGCAATTTAATTGCTCGTTGTTGCAGAGACCAGGCTCTTAACATGTAATGAAGTTCCTTATTTTTTTTTTCTTTTATTCTATGTTGTTGAAACTCGTTGTTGATGATTCTGAGGACTACCGAGATTGAGAAGTCGCGGGAAACTCTTAGTTTCCCAGGAAAAATGCAAGATTAATCATCCATTATTGGTGAGAATCATGGGCTGCATTTGCTCAAAAGGAGCATCAAGAAAAAAATATCTTATTACATCTCATACTTTTATGACACTATTCTCAACAACCCTGTTGGCCAGATTTGTGTGTCGGTGTAGCCGGAAGAGTTCCGGACCCCGTAGAAGATGAAACTCGACCCGAAGACGAAGAACGAAGCCAATGAACGAAGAATTCAAAAATTAAAGACCCGTTAATGTAATGAAAAAAATAATTATTGAAATTATTTATTCATTCAATTTGGTTGTATTAATTATTCGTTCAATATGGTTGTAATTTATATTTTTCATGGGACCCGGTCAAATTCGTCTCAATAGCCGATTGCATATTTTATACTTATATTTATTGGATGATTGTATATTATATGTCAATGCATATAACATGCCATATAGGTATAGTGCGCCTACTCATATGTTTTATAACATGCCAATACGCGCGCATTATTTTATTTATTTTATTTTATTAAATGAGTTTTGAAAAATAAAATAAAATAAGAACCATAGCTAAAATTGATTTAATATGATTAAATTGATTTAAGTTGTAAAATTATGTTATGTGTGAAATTGAATTTAAGAGTTAAATATTAGAATTTCACATATCCTATAAATAAATTGTTTATTTATAGGGATTTAAAAACCATGAGATGATTTTTAAATAAAATACATATTTGTAAAATATTGAATGGGAGAAGGTTGTATGAAAATACGACCCACTGGTCTCCATCGTATAGATAGTCGTTAAAAGAACAAATTATAAAATAGTCCCTTGGAAAGAAAAAACAAAATTAGATTGGAAAAGAGAAAAACATACGTTAAAAAAAATTAAACTATATAAGAACATTAGAAGAACAAAACATCTAAAAAATAAAAAATGATAAAAGCAAAGCAAACCATATAACAGTGAAGAAAGTGCTCTGTAAGAGCACTGTAAAAAAAATGTATAAAGATAACTTTTGATATAACATAAAATATACATAAAATAATTAAGTAAATATACATTTAAAGAAATTTATTTTAAATATTGAAAAAAAAATTAAATAGAAACACATGGAAAGAAATTACTTTTATAAGAATAAAGTGAGCAAAAACTATTTTAAAAAGTTAAATTGTTAAAAAATTCACAAAATGAAAAAATAAAAAACAAAACATTTAAAATATAAAAAGAATAAAGATAAACAACAAAAACACTAAAAAAAAAAAAAAAAAAAAAAAAAAAAAAAAAAAAAAAAAAAAAAAAAAAAAAAAAAAATGAAGAAAAAAATGAAGAAAAAAAT